CATAATTTGATCAACGCGCGCCGTTAACTCCACATCCGCGAATTTTATTTTTTTTTTTGCCTAAAAACGACGTCGTTTGGCCTTGTGTTCACCATTCTCGGTGAACACGTTTCCAGGGCATAATTTGCCGGGCATTGCTAGCCGGGAGAGGTAAAAGACGTACCCCAAGTCCAAATTTCGGAGGCCCAATTAATGAACGACAAGTCCGAACAAACGAAGGCTCACAGTAATGCGAAGGACACCAACAACAACAAAGGCAGAGGGTCAAAGAATTCAGGGAATATCAAGAGAATATCTAAGCAAGCAGCAGAGACAGAGGGTCATGTAGTGGTAAGAAGTTCAGAGAAAGGAAATCGGGTGACTAGAATTGAAATAACAGAGGATGGGAGCGTGGTGGAAGAACTTATCACTCAAAGTGCCAATGACGAGCATCAACAGGACCCTCTCGATGTTGACATGTACGAGGATGCTCCGGATGAGGGTGCCACAAGCTTGAGTGACAAGGCAGTTGATGATGCTCCTTCATCATCAACTCGTGCCGGTGGTGTTTATGTCGTTGTTTGTGTGTTGGGTTGCTGCTTTGTTTCTGTTTCGTTATGAAGATTATTAGTTGGAATTGTCAAGGGGCCGCCTCAAGCAGTTTTAGGCATGCCCTCCTCAACATCACGAAGTTGCATAGGCCGGACATAGTGGGTCTCTTAGAACCCAGAATTTCTGGTCACTCTGCCGATAAGGTTTGTAGGAGTTTTGGTTTTCACAATTGGTTAAGAGTTGAATCAGTTGGGTTCAGCGGGGGTATTTGGCTTTTTTGGAACAACAACTTAGAAGTCGAGATCACCGCAACCAATCCGCAGTATGTGTTAACTAAGATCAGCCAAGGAACAGAAGACATTGGCATGGTCTCTTTTGTTTATGGAAGCCCATCTCACTGCCATAGACAAAAGCTTTGGGATGGTTTGGCTCAAGACAATTTAAACATTCTTGGAGCCTGGCTCACGGTTGGTGATTACAACGCCATCACATGTATTGAAGATGTGAGCAACCAAACCAGTTTTCATCATCATAGGTGTACAGGCATGCGTGATTGGATGTTTAGAGAAGGCCTTATTGATTTGGGGTATGCTGGAACAAGGTTTACGTGGACTAGAGGCAGAAATAGCGTTACTTTCACTGGAGCCAGACTCGATCGTGGCCTCTGTACCTCGGACTGGATCTTGAAATACCCGGAGACAAGCGTTACTCACCTGGCGCGCATTGGCTCCGACCACTCTCCCATTTTGATCAACACGGCAAGTAATCACCATGGTAATTATCACTCGTCCTTTTCAGTTTCAAGCTGCATGGACTCGTCATCCCGACTTTCCCAAAGTTGTTAAAGATAGCTGGGACATGGCGAGACCGCTTGGGGTTAACATCCACACCATGCAAAACAAGTATAAGGATTGGAGCAGGAATGTCTTCGGCAGCATTGACAAACGCAAGAGGCTTCTCACGGCCAGAATAAATGGCGTTCAAAGATGCATGGAGGAGAACCCGAACAATGGTGTAATAAACTTGGACAGAAATTTGCGTGCTGAGCTTGAGGAAACACTTTTGCAAGAGGAGCTTAATTGGTTTCAGATGTCTAAAGAAGAGTGGATTCAGTCAGGGGACAGAAACACGAAGATCTATCACGCTGCTACCATGATACGAAGGGCTCGAAATAAAATTAATAGCTTGAAGGACAATAATGACAACTTGGTCAGTGATAGAAAGCATTTAGAAGATATGATTCATAGTTATTATAAGAAGTTATATACGAAGGAGGAACCGTGTGACTGTCGGGAAGCTATCACAGGAGCGTTCCCCAGGATTGAGGAGAACCAGTGGCTTTTGATTAATAGAGAGGTCACAAAGGATGAGGTTAAAGAGGCTCTTTTGATATGTCCCCAATCAAAGCCCCGGGTCCGGACGGTTTTAATGCGTTATTTTACCAGAACTCTTGGGAATTTGTGGGCGATAGCTTACATATGCTGGTTCTTGAATTCTTCATTATTGGAAATATTCCGGATGGTTTGGATTAGAAGAGTAATTCAAAATCTTATTAATCAGATAACAATTACAATATTAAAAGAGGTGTAAACCACGTAAACCTCTCCTAACTATTAGGCTTGACTAAACCACTTAACTAGAACCATACAAATAATAACATTATTATAAAGACTAATAATAACATTATTGACACACCCCCTCAAGCTCAAGGTGGGTGTGCAACTACATTGAGCTTGGTACGCAGAGCTGTAAAACGCGGTCCGGGAAGTGGTTTTGTAAAGATGTCTACGAGCTGGTCCTTGGTGGAGACAAAGCTGACAACAAACTCACCAGAAGCAACCTTGTCTCGTACAAAATGGAAATCGATCTCAACGTGCTTGGTCCTGGCGTGGAAAACCGGGTTGGCACATAGATAGGTGGCACCGAGGTTCTCACACCACAGAGTCGGAGGTTGACCGGAATGTAGCCCAAGTTCCTGAAGAAGAGAAACAACCCATGTAACCTCAGCCGAGACATCAGCTAAAGCTTTGTATTCCGCCTCAGTTGATGAGCGTGCCACTGTGCGCTGCTTCCGAGAGAGCTAGGAAATGAGGTTGCCGCCTAGGAAGACTGCATAGCCGCTGGTGCTCTTCCTGTCGAGTGGGCAGCCAGCCCAGTCGGAGTCGGAAAAAGGCATGAATTGTCGAGTAAGCAGAAGGAGTTAGACGTAAACCATAGTGAAGAGTCCCCTTTACATACCGCAGGACCCGCTTCACAAGACCCCAGTGATCGTCTGTAGGGGAATGCATATACTGACAAAGCCGGTTCACAGCAAAAGACAGATCTGGACGTGTGATAGTGAGATACTGTAGGGCCCCAACAATGCGCCGATACTGAGTTGGGTTGTCATACGGCTGTGACGTGGAAGTGGTAACGTGAGAAACCGCAGCTGGTGTCGTGAGTGGCTTGCAGTCTGACATACCAGCTCGGTTTAGGATATCAACCATGTACCGTTTTTGTGAAAGGAGATAACCACCGTCTAGAGCCAGAGTTTCGATGCCCAAGAAGAACCCCGGAGTCCCGAGATCCCGAATTTTGAAAGCAATGGAGAGATGGCGTAGCATCACGTCCAGTAACGATGTATCATTCCCCATCAATATGATGTCGTCAACATAGACGAGCAAGAAAATCCGTGATGCCTCGGCCGTGTAGTGAAAGAGTGATACGTCAGTTTTGGACGGCAGAAAACCTGTAGAAACCAAAAAATCATGCAGCATCTTGAACCAAGCTCTAGGGGCTTGTTTGAGACCGTAAAGTGAGCGCTGAAGGTGACAAACATAGTTGGGATGTGAGGAATCCTCGTACGCTGGTGGCTGCTTCATGTACACAGTCTCGGCTAGATGGCCATTTAGGAATGCATTGTGCACATCTAGCTGGCGGAGAGTCCAGCTGTTGGACACCGCTAGAGACAGGAGCAGTCTAACCGTGGTAGGCTTGACTACAGGGTTGAAGGTGTCGAAAAAATCTTCATCGGCTACCTGGTTGAACCCCTTGGCAACCAGGCGAGCCTTGTAGGGCTCTACTGAGCCATCTGCTGTGCGTTTGGTGCGGAACACCCATTTGCACCCAATGATATTCATGTCAGACTTTGGTGGTACAAGCCGCCAAGTGCCATTATGCAGTAGAGCATTAAACTCCTGGTCCATAGCATCCCGCCACTGGGGATGCCCTACGGCCTGTGAGTAACACGTTGGGTCAGTCGTCGTAGTCAGCGCATGGAACTGTTCGCTTGTGCCCCGAGTCATGTGTCGCAGACGCATCACATGCTCTTGAACTGGAGCCGGTTGGCGTTTAGACTTCCCGTGTCTTAGCCGGGGCGGTCCTGGAGGGACCCTCAATAGCTAAAGGAGTTGTATCCGGTGTAGGAACCCTGGGCCCTGATGAAGGTGGGGCAACAGCTATGGGCAGTGCCGGTGATGACTGTGTTATTATGGGTCCAGATGCCCACGGAGCTGGTGGAAAAGCCAGATCCGTCTTATCCTGCAATGTTGAGTCTGAAAAAGGAAAGTTAGACTCGTCAAATCGGACATGACGACAGATATACACTTTTCCACTTATTAAGTCCAAGCATCTATACCCTCTATAGAAACATGGAGTTGAGCGGTACTCAATTTTGTGTTTGTTATAGGGACGAAGGTACGGGTAACACCGACACCCGAATACTCTTAGAAACGTGTATGGTGGTGACACTTTGTGTAATCGGTAATAAGGGCTTTCAAAGTTTAAGGCTGACGAGGGTAGATAATTTATGAGATTTGTGGCTGTTTCGAAGGCGTAGTCCCAATATTGCATGGGGACTGAACCTTCGGCAAGTAAAGCTAACCCGATTTCGACAACATGTCTGTTCCGACGCTCAACTCGGCCATTTTGCTCATGTGGGTAAGCACATGATTGTCTATGATTAATGCCGAGAGATTGGAAAGTTTTTTGTAGTTTTTGATGCCCCCCCCCCCCCCCCCCCCCCCAAGTCGGACTGAATGGATTTGATAGAACGCGTGAATTGGCGTTCTACCATGACTCGAAACGACTCAAACACTTTATAAATATCTGATTTCACCCGTAAGGGGTAAAACCAGCAAAACCGAGTACAATCATCTACAAAGAGTACGAAATATTTAAAACCACTACTCGAAAAGATTGGAGCTGGACCCCAAATGTCCGTATATAATAAATCGAGTACATTTTGGCTAGAATTTTCTACTCTATCTAAAGGAAACCGTGACGCCTTTCCCATATGACAAGTAGTGCACGACCCCAATGACTCGGTTTTATTGCGAATGACTGGACAGGCTTGCAACACTTTATTAAGGACTTGACTGTGAGGATGGCCCAACCGACGATGCCACATCACTGGAGTGGCCCGGGAACTAAGGAACGCGAAGTGGGATTGTGATAGCGGGAGCTTATAGAGTCCACCCGAGGTAGGTCCTTTAAGCAGAATTGCCTGTGTGATCGAATCCTTCACAATGAAACAGTGTTTATGAAATTCAAAGAAAACATCATTTTCGTTAGTAAATCTTTGAACTGACAATAAAGAAACGGACAGATTAGGTACATGTAACACATTTGACAACTTTAATGGTTTGGACATAAAAGGAATAGACGCGGACCCAATACGTGAAATATGCAAACCTGTGCCATTACCGACTCGTAGCACATCCCCGCCATTGTACTCCGACGATTGCGATAGCATTGACGCATCCGGTGTGGCGTGTGCGGAAGCCCCGGTGTCCGGGAACCACGAACCAGTGGACGACGCCACATCATCACCAGCCACTATCAGATTTTCCTGGGGCGCTGGCTGCGAGTTGTAACGTTTTTTACAATTAAGAGCAGAATGTCCGTGAGCTCTGCAGATTTGGCATCTCACCTGTCCGCCACCACCACGTCCTCCACGTCCACCACGCCACTGGCCGCCCCGACTGCCACGATTGCCGCGTCCACCACCGGAGTTACCGCGACGTCCTCCAGCGCCACCCCCTGACTGATTACTGCCCTGCGCAACATAGAGTGCCGCAGGAGATCCGCCACCAGTGAGACCGGGCGAAAGGTCATCTGTCGCAATAAACACTTGCGCCTGCAAGAAGTCAGCGAGTTGGGGTAACGTAACCGGATTGTCGGAGACCGTTAGGGAAGACGCCATGCTTCTGAATTATGGCCGGAGACCTCGGAAAACCCAGAGGTTCTGTTCGTCCAATGATAGCGGACGTCCGGCGAGTGAGAGAGCCTCCACAATAAGCTGGGCTTGGCCGATGTAGTCCGCCGGGGAGAGGTTGCCTTGCCTCAAAGACTAAAACTGCCCAAGCAGATTCAAACAGCGAGCTCTCGAACTGGATCCCAATGCGGTGGTGATTGAGTCCCAGACTTCCATCGACGTATTGCGGCCAACGGCAAGGTGAAGTACTTCGTCGGCCATGGATGAAACCAAGAGCGACAGAATAGATGCATCTTGCCTCACCCACGTCTTGAATTTAGGATTTGACACACGAACGGAATTGGCAACATCGGAGGTGGAAGATTCTGCCAGAGCGCTGGCGATCGTCGGTGACGGGCACGGGGTCTCGCCGGTGACAAACCCGAGCAGTTCTTGGCCCCGTAAGAACGGAACCAATTGTGTGCGCCAGAATAAAAAGTTCCGGGATGTTAGTTTAATTGACACAAAGTGATGTGCCGAGGAGAGAGGGTTTGATGTGGTGGCTGGAGTTGGGACGGAGGAGGTGATTGTTCTTTCCGACGAGTTCGGCGACATTTTGGGGTGAGGGGAGAGAAAACAGGAGGATCGAACGTAAGGCTAACTGATACCAGATTAGAAGAGTAATTCAAAATCTTATTAATCAGATAACAATTACAATATTAAAAGAGGTGTAAACAACGTAAACCTCTCCTAACTATTAGGGTTGACTAAACCACTTAACTAGAACCATACAAATAATAACATTATTATAAAGACTAATAATAACATTATTGACAGTTTGAACCATACAAATATCGTTCTAATCCCCAAGATTCCAAACCCAGAGAAAGTTACTCAGTTAAGGCCTATAAGCCTTTGCAAAGTGGCTTATAAGCTCATTACCAAGGTTATGACGAACAGGCTTAAAAGAATTATGCCTGAGTTGACATGCCCAAATCAAAGCAGCTTTGTGTCGGATCGCCAGATTACGGACAACATTGTCACCTATCAAGAAGCCCTTCACACGATTCGTACGGACAAGCGCCACACCGGTTACATGGTTCTTAAAATCGACCTGGAGAAGGCTTATGATCGTATTGATTGGAACTTCATCCGGAACACCATCCAGGATATTGGTTTTAACCATGCTTGGACCAGGAATATCATGAACTGCGTTGAAACCTCTTGGATGTCCATTCTTTGGGAAGGAAGGAATCTGGATAAGTTCAAACCGGAGCGGGGGGTCCGTCAGAGTGACCCGATGTCCCCCTATCTTTTCGTGCTTTGCATTGAGAGACTGGGTCACATTATCACCAAAGCTGTGTCTCAGGGCCGCTGGAAAGGAGTTTTGGCATCCAAGGAAGGCCCGAGCATTTCTCACATGTTCTTTGCGGATGACATGGTTCTTTTCGCCGAAGCCGATGAAGATCAAATGCATTCCGTCACGGATTGCCTGGAGAATTTTTGTAAGATTTCGGGTCAAAAGGTCAATAAACTTAAGTTTAATATTTTCTTTTCTAAAAATGTTTGCAGGGAAACAGTGGACAAGCTCACGTCCATTGCCGGTATCCCCACCACTGATGACTTAGGAAGGTACTTGGGAGTTCCGTCCTTGCATGGTCGCATCACGAGAGACCACGCAAGAACATTTTGGATAGAGTTCGTGGCAAACTGGAAGGTTGGAAAACTTGGTTCCTCAGCCTAGCGGGGAGGCATGTGGTTGCTCAGTCCGTTCTCAATGCGATACCATCCTACGCTATGCAGTCTATGCTCATACCTAAGGGGGTCTGCGATGACATTGACAAGATGACCAAAATTTTTTTTATGGGGTGGCGATGGGCAAACTAGAAAGATCAGCTTGGTTAATTGGGAGACTGTGATCCGACCCAAAAATGAGGGAGGTCTTGGTCTAAAATCCATGCGAAAGATGAATATTTCTCTCCTAGCAAAACTAGGATGGAGAGCCCTCAAAGAGAATAACAAAACCTGGGCTCAGGTCCTGACCAACAAATATATGAAGTCTGGGGCATGCATCGGAAACATTAAGCGAAGGACGTCCGACTCGAACACCTGGAAAGGCATTTGCGCCGCAACCCATATTCTTAAGAGGGGTGCGGTGAAGGTGGTGAGGAATGGTAGAGACACGCTTTTTTAGACTGATCGTTGGCTCGGAGATTCTCCACTTAGGGAATGGTTGATCGGTCCCATGAATAGAGGCGATGAAGAATTGACAGTGGCGGATGCTTGGGACGACAGGGGGTACTGGAAATGGGATCGAATTGGTACGGGGCTCCACCATGCCAAACGGAGCCAGCTCACAGGGAAGGTCATCCTGAACGCTGCTAACAAACATGATACACTGGGCTGGAGTGCAAACGAGAATGGTCAGTTCACCACTAAGTCAGCGTACAACATGGTGCACGACGATGGGGAAGCGAAGGACAAGGAGGACTGGAGTCTTATTTGGAGACTACGAGTCCCTAATAGACTGAGAACTTTCATCTGGCTTGTTAAAAAAGGGAAAATCATGTGCAATGTTGAAAGGAGGAAGCGGGGCTTTACTCCAGACGCAAGATGCAGCGTTTGTGGTGATGAGGAAGAAACGGTGGACCATGTCATTCGCATGTGCCCGGCAGCCAGGGAAGTGTGGCAGCACCATAACTATGCTAATGACTCAGGCAACTTCTTTAATGTTGATTTTAAGAATAGGCTAATGGAGAATTTGGCAGGGACCGAAGGTGAGCAAAGGAGGAAGAAGCGCAGCGCAAGGTTCGCGATGATCACATGGGGAATTTGGAGGTGAAGGAACGAATTTGTTTTCAATGGCAAAGCGCTCGATGTTAATGCAAAAATGGATTGGCTGAGCAGACTGTTTCGGGACGTTGAGGCAGCGCTGAACCGGGAGGCTGGAGTGGAGAAGAGAAGAGAACCAGACACAAAAAGAAGCCACCCATGGACTCCACCTCCACATGGTTGGCTCAAGATCAACACGGATGGATGCTCGTGCAGAAACACCAGAAACGCAGCTTGCCGGGGGGGGAGGGGGGGTGATTAGGGACGAGAATGCCAGATTCCGGGAAGCCTTCTCCCACCGCATTGGCACCTGCGAGCCTGTAGAGGCTGAGATGTGGGGGATCTACTTGGGCATCAAAAGGGCATGGGAGCGAGGCTACCGGAGGGTCAAGTTTGAATCCGACAGTGCAACCGCTATCAAGGTGGAAAATGATGGTCATTATGAGGGACCAGGCAATAACTTGGTGACACTTTGCAGAGCTGGAAAGGAGTGGAACTGGGAAATTGAGTTCAAACATATCCCGAGGGAGCAAAACAAGGTTGCCGACTCCATTGCTAAACAAGCCATGGAAGATGATGAGGTGACGAAGTACTACGAGAATGTCACTAGCTTCATGGAAAAATTGGTGCGAGAGGATGAACTCGGCCTCTTGGGTCACAGCAATATTGTGAGAATCAACTAGTGATTCTTGGATATCCTCCTCCATTTCCCCTAAAAAAAAAATAATAAGTTATTTACTCAGTAAAGTGATTGATAAACTCACTCAAAATCAATTTATGGCAACAAATCCACGACGTACCAAATTTGAAGAAAATTGGTGGTAGCCAAGACATAATTGTCAAATGTGGCACGTCATCGATCCGACTCAGATAAAAAACGATGCCTAAAGCTACGGATTAATACTGCCTTTTTAATCTTTTTAGCCCTACTTAGTTGTCGTAAGACATCTTATCATATATTTTTTAAATAAGAAATAATTATATATATATTTATATTCAAGTTATTTCTTATTTTTTCATAAAAGTAATGAAGTCCTATCCATATGTTTTTGCATGTCTTGTTAAAATATAAAGAGGTCTAATTCGTATGGGTGGCTACTGGCTACAATCACCGCCCATCAAATTAAGTAGCTTTAAAAAAGTAGTAAAAATACAAAATATAAAAAGCATTGAATGATTTGAAGAAATAATATTAAATTAGAAACTATATTTTGTTGAGGAAAGAAATAATTTTAAATTAGAAATAATATTTTATTAGATCTTAATATTTTTTTTTGAAAATTATTAGATCTTAATATAATTAGTGGATAGCGAATTATGTTACTTGTTTTAACCAACGGTTAATATTAATAATTTATGAATTAAAAATGTTTGATAAGTTATATATATGCTTAATTCTAGCTGGGAATGTATAAAACAACATATAAGAACTTGAATAAATTATTTTATTTATTTAATTATACTTCCCGTGCGGTTGTGCGGGTGGACACACATTAACCATTAAATTGACGCACTTTAAGTACAAAACAAACGCGCATTAAGAACATAAAAAAACACCTTAAGAACACAAACACACGCACCTTAAGCACAAAACTCACGCACCTTAAACACAAACTTCATGTACCTTAACCACAAAACTCACGCACCTTAAACACAAACCTCACGCATCTTAAGCACAAAACACACGCACCTTTAACTTTCAACAACTACTCACATTAAGCACAAACCCACGCACCTTAAGCACAAAACTCACGCACCTTAAGCACAAAACACACGCACCTTTAAGTTTCAACAACTACTCACATTAACCACAAACTCACGCACCTTAAGCACAAAACTCACGCACCTTAAGCACAAAACACACGCACCTTAAGCACAAAACTCACGCACCTTAAGTTTCAACAACTCACATTAAGCACAAACTCACGCACCTTAAGCACAAAACTCACGCACCTTAAGCACAAGACTCACGCACCTTAAATACAAAACTCACGCACCTTAAAACTGCACAACCGCACGGAAAACATTCACCCGCACTGGAACTTAATTCTATGGAATAAATATGTTTTAAATTTTACATTTTTAATTATTATACAAATATAAATATGTGGAATATAAATTATTATATTAATACAAATTAATAGCATAAATTAATGAGTAGAATAGTCTTATAGTCTTTTTGAACTAAATAAATGTAATTCACTAATCCAAAAATTACCATGTTTTAATAAGTCTTAGTTTACTATAGATTATATTATATACAAGATTTAAGTTTAAACAATATTAATTATTGGTATGCTTAATTAGACCTACATAATTGTCACAATTATATATACAAATATATTGTATTAAATTATAAAAATTTAAAATTTAAAATATAGCTATCATAAAGCATATAACTTGGATTAATTAAAAACCCTCCATTTTATATATATATAAAAAAAAAATTAAACTGCTTTGTAAGAAGCCTGAGGCTTCTTTAAATAAAGAGGCATCAGGCTTCTCTACTCTTGCCCATCCGATATGGGATGAGTAAGAGTAAAACTAAAGGGGCGTTGCAACACCCCTTTTCTTCTAAACTTCCGATGTGGGATCCGTGATCAGAGACGGAGCCAACGGGGGCAGGGGGGTCGCTGCCCCCCCTCACCCCACTCCCACCCCCACCCCATATATAATATTTTTTATGTATATATGTATATATAGTGCATGTTTTAGTATTAGTATAAAAAATTATTAAATATTAATAAGAGATGAGTTAGACTAGTTGGTAGACCATATGTTTA